CATTTTTTTGAGTATATCCACAGAGCTATTTTTGTCTCCACACACATTTTTATATAAATTTTTATTAAATATTTTATATATAAAAATTTATTATAGTTTTTTTGTGTGTGTATATATATATATATATATATATATATATATATATATATATATATATATATATATATATATATATATATATATATATATATATTATTTATTGGTTCATTCATTCGTTCATATATTTGTTCATTCATCATTTGTTCAGTTTATAATAATTACTTTACCCACTTTAATCTTTTAATTAATTAGCTAATTCATTCATTCGTTCTTTCGATCAATCTTCATTCATTCCTTCAATCATTGCTTATTTCTTATTGATATGAACAATTGTAGATACGTATGTAGATTGATGCATGCATGTATGTATGTATTTTGTATTACCATAATTTCTTCATCTTTGGACTGGCTGGTCTTACAAGGGCTAGTCATGGGTTTCTAAGTAAATTGCATATGTATCTGTTGATAACTTTTGTCGCTTTGATAAATGAAAGCTTTGTTGGATATGAGTTTGAATTTGAAAATGCGTCATACAAGCTTGAAAGTATATTGTATATGTGTATATATACATTATTTATATGTTGGTTTATAAATTTTTGTTTATATCAACAGAAAGTGTGCGTGTGCGTGTCATGTATGTGTTAGTTTGTTTATCTTATGTTTATAACATTTTATTGGTATCTATGTGGTTTACGCTTAATCATGAGTTACCAGAGTACGTTTATGGTTGTTATGATTGGATACATTTGATTGTATCATGTATCAGCAGATGTGTGTGGATAGCTAGATATATCTATTTACACAATTCTTATTGAATTTGATTTAATTTTTGTTCGAGGTAAAAACTCTTATTCTGTTGATTAATGCATATATCAACCATGACTTATTTGGGCGCAGGTTTATGTCTGTCTTTCTGTTTCAGAGTCTGTTTGTTTGTCTGTCTGTTTGTTCGTCTGCATGCATGTCTGTCTGTCAGTGTGTTCGTTCGTGTTTGGGTTCCTGTTCTAGAGAATGCTTCAACTTCATCACATAATCAATTCTAATGAAAGGCATTTTTCGAGCTTTTTTTCAATATTATTTTCAGACATGAATGAATTCGAAACGCTTTTTTATATGTGATAAAGCATTTTTGTGAATTTTTTCAATATTTTTCCGATTATTCTTCAATTATCAAATATTCTGCTATAATAAATATATATATTTTAATAATAACATCAATGAGTAACCATTTAACTTATACATACATTCATTGCTTGTAACAAATTATTTTCAATTCGAATTAAAACTGTTATCATTGTATATATTGTATAGAATGGAATATGTTATGAATTGTATATATGGTATTGTGTCTTTTTTTCTAATTGTTAGTTTGAATTAAAAATGTTCAACTGTATGTTGCTTATTTATTCATTTATCTATTTATTTATTTGTCAAATTAATTAATTAAATTACCAATTAATTAATTAATAATTAATTTAATGATTTTCTTATCTATTGTCGTTTCTGAATTATTTTAGATAGCTCCTGGATCCTATCCTACCCCAAAATCCTACCTACCTCGTCGTTGTTTCTTATCTCCCATTCTGTTTTGTATCAATATGTGTAAATAGATTCCGTATTTAACAGTATAAGAATAAATTAATTATATAATTATATACACAAACCTACACACACACGCACACACACACACGCAGGCACATACACGCGCATATCACAATTTCATTTTTAGGTTTTAATTTGCACGACGAACGCACGACCACCTACAAACCCTACTATGAGTCTAATTGTACGCATGTATGTACGTGGTATCATTTAAAATTTTAGGATTTTAGAAGTGTGCTCGAAGTTAGTAGTTTGGTTGCTCTGCTATCCGGATTCGATAGTCTGATTTTGAACGTAACATCACTGCTACATTGCTAGGGTTTGTAATATAATTGGCTAAATAAAAGTTTAAGGATATAGTACATAATTATTTTGGAATTTGTGTTCTGTTGCATAGCTTGACTGAAAATATATAGCTAAGAATATATTGCGTTAAGTTTATTTATTTTTTGTGTTGTATTAATTATGTTTGTGTGCCAACAACCCATTGATGTTGTGATTATGTTTATGTGTGTGTGGCGTGGGCATGTGTGTGTGTGTGTGTGTGTGTGTGTGTGTGGGTTATATTTTAGATCCGTAGATATGATAAACTATTGCAGATGTGTAAAGATTTATATAACCGGTTTATATGATTATTTGTCTATACTATGATTATGTGCTTTTGTGTGTTATATAATAGTCTGTTTTTGATGTTTTCTAAGAGGTTATTGATTAAATATTTTCATCAGTTGATTTGGTATATAAAGTTATTCAATTTTTCATTTGTCTTAATTAGTTAGCTAGTTTACTATTCAGTTAATGTAAACGTGTTGTAACTTTGGTAATCATCATCCAGTGATTTTATAATATACATTGTAACGTTTAGATAGTTTCAGATAGTTTGATTACGATCATTTACATACATCGTTTTTGTATGTGTATTTGTATGGTTTTTGTATACCTGGGTACCTGTGTGTGTGCGCGTGTGTATGTTCGTGTTTGTGTGTGTGCTATATGTATACATTGCACTTCTTTATACAGCATCATTTTTACAGGGACGCATATATATAAAAAGTGGATATTTACTTTTTTCAATTTTTAAATTTCATGCCCACAACATTCATATTTGCTGAAATCAAAATTACATACAATTTTGTATCTGAATTGTTGTACGGTTTTTATATTTTAAAAATGTATTTTGCTTACAGAGATAGTAAGCAATTTGAAATTCCTTGTGTCTTTTTTAGTATTCTCTCTCTTTCTTTCTTTCTTTCTCTCTCTCTCTCTCTCTCTCTCTCTCTCTCAATTTTTAACGTTATTTTCTTATTTATTTATGTGTTTTAATATGAAAGATATAATGCTTAAACTATTTTTCTCATTTTTTTTTTGTTTTTTTTCATTAAAAGTATTGTAAAATCGATATCTTTTGTGTTGAATTGTTCCAAACTATTTAGATACTGTTGAATATTCCTTGTGCTATATCTGTAAATATGAACTTTATTGTAATAATATAAATAGTTTAATAAATAATAATATGAATAATATTATGAATAATTTTATAAATATTATAAATAATATAAATACAATTACTTATCAGTTCTAACAATTGAAATTGTGACATCTTGCCCTTTTGTATTTGAAAGAAAATGAACAATGTTTTATTTTTTTATTATTATTACCCATAGTTTGATGAATATGTATTATTGTGTGTAGGGTTATTTATTAACATGTAGATGCTATTTATGATGTGTAATGTATGCCTGTGTGTGTGGGTATGGTGTGTGTGTGTGTGTGTGTGTGTGTGTGTGTGTGTGTGTGTGTGTGTGTGTGTTTGTGTGTGTGTGTGTGGTTGTATATGTGTGTACGTGCGTTGATATAAGTATGTGTGTTTTAGTGTTTGGTTGGTATATGTAGTTTTTCTGTGCAAACATTTGAAAAAATAAAAAATAATTAACGTAAATTGTCGGTCTGTCATTGTCTATCGTCCCTGCGTCTTTGAAATGAACAACAATCGGTTACATAAATGCACGACGAAGTGGAAAAGACGAAATAACACGTTCTCGCTATATGAAGAACAATATCAACAATAATTTTTCTAAATTTGAAACTAAATTTTTTCAATAAAATATAAAAATTGAAATTTTCTGGAGATCACTAATTTAAAAATTCATGGAATTTTTTAATTGACTTTGACTGTAGCACTGACTAGAACTTGAGGCCAATGAAATGGCGCCGTTGACAGCGCTGTTGACGCTGCAGCCGATGTTGTAGCCGCCGCCACTATTACCACCGTTCATGTTACCACTGATGTTGTTGCTGTTGTTAGCGTTCGAAGTGCCTGAACATGCGAAGTTGTCAGAACCAGTCATGCAGGACATCTCCAGTTTTTGTCTCTTCACCTTGGCTCGGTGGTTTTTGAACCAGAGTTGAACATTTTTCGGCTCGAGGGCTGGAAAACGTTGCCTGTAGGCAGATCTGAAGGATGATTTTGTATTGAGATCTATTTCATGGCGCGAAGTACATTCATCGAAAAACAAATTGCGGTTTTAACGTTGTATTCAGTTTTTTTATCATTTAAAGAAAAACTGTTCACGTTACAGTCAATCAATGAAATGCAGGACACTTCATTAGCGTTGAACGATCTTTTTTGACATGAATACACACACAACGTGAGCACACGCGCGCCTGAAATAACCATCGTACCAGGCACTCGGAGCATATTTTGTAGGTGGAGATCTACCAGCTCAGAGAATAAGATCAACAATGACGTAATACAACAAAGTTTTAAATTTTTGCTTCAAAGGATGGCTAATCAAAAAAAAATAATTAAAAAATTTTCAGTCACCTGTTGAGCTCTTCGGTGAACTGCTCGATCATGAACGCCGATGGGTGCGTGTCGTCGTTAAACCATCTTTCCAAACGAGGAATCTCAGTCAGTGGGTCGATGAACACGCGACTCCTCTTGCGTCTGTCGCCATCACTACTTCCTGCTCCTGCGTTTTGTAAGGGAGAGAGAAATTGTTTACTTTGTTCTTGAGGAGGAGCTTCATTTAATAACATTTACGATGACTTGAACAATTTCAATGCTGCATTGCAAGAATCATCTCATCTTTTACACCTACGCTCGAAATTTTGCTAGTATGACAACAGTAACAGCGAAACAAACCATGGTTAATGGTAGCGAAATAATGTTTCGGTGTTTAACATATTTTCATTATTGAATATAGAATCAGTACAACATCCAATCCATCTCATCTGCTTACCATCTTGACTTCCGCTGGGACTCAACCTCGCACTTGCACCTGGAGCTCGACTGCCGACCACAGCAGCCGCCACGGCCAGCATCTTGGCCGGATCAAAAACGTTCGGAGGCGATTGATGAGCGGAAGAAGTTTGATGGTGGGAGTAGAAGAGAGAGGCAGGGTTCCTTAAGCAATGCAGGTTGAATGCCTGGGACATGGCTGCTTGGAAGGAGTGCATCACCTGCACAATGCACAACACTTTTTTAAATATTTATTGCGACATTTTTTAAATTATTCAAATTTTTTCAACAATCAAAAAAATTGCAAACTTTATTTTTTATAAAATATGGCAAAGGAACCAAATTAACCTGTTGCTGGTGCTGATGCTGATGTTGTCTGCGTTTCTGTTGGTCCGTGAGACGTTGGAATGTGTCAAAAGTGTTAAAGTTGTTGTAATTGACGTCATCATCTTTGTCTATGCTGCAGTGTTGATGTTGTGACTGTTGTCGTTGTTGTTGTTGTTGTTGTTTCTCTTGTTGCTGTTGATTTTGCGATAGTGGCATTAAGCGATTAGCAGATGAATTATTAAATTTAAATTCAAAACATAAGCTAGACATCAAACGCTGTTGTTGTTTGTAATCGCGTTGCAGTTGCTGTGCGTTGTGGTATTCGCAATGTTGTTGTCGTCTGCCTTGCTGGACTCCTTCCTGGTCTTCATTGAGTTCATCGGTGGTCACTAGTTTGTTCTGCCAATTATTATTCACCTTGTCAGTTTCAGCGTTGTATGTCTGCAGTTTGATGTCCTCATCATCATCCTCATTGTCCATGTCGAGGTTGTTGTTGTTGTTAGCTTTGTCGACGTTGTTGTTTGTTATGTCGATAACGTTGTTGTTGTTGTTGTGAACTTCTTTATTTCTTTTAAATGAATAATTGTATCTGTTCTGGTACTCAGTTAGAAAGTTACGATTGAACGAGTTGTGGTTGATTGTGTTAATGCTGTAGACACCACTACTGTTGTTGTTGTTGTTGTTGGTAGTTATGTTTTTAAAATCGTTAACGCTGTTTCTATCGTCTTCATCGCCCTTCTTATCGTGGCCTCCAACGTCGCTGCAAACGTTATCAATTTCTTTTCCGCTGCTGTTTTTAGTAGTTTCGTCGGCGGCTCTTGAGGTGGCCTCATGTTTTACACACCCCATGTAAAAGTTTTCCTTTTCAAATCCGCCGGTCGGTCGATATCGATCGGTATATTCTTTTTCCGGATCTGTCGGATACGTAGAAGACGACGTCTGTTTCATCTCTTTATTAAAACCGCTGTTATTTTTATTATCATTATTGAAGAAAGTGCCTGTGAGAGGACTGTTGCCTCGAGGCGTGGGTGAATTATGGAAGTATTTGTTACTCGTTGGCAAGCAAATGGCTTGTGTTCTCTTGCTGGCCTTGATCGTTTCACGCCTCTTGCAATCACTTTTCTGATCGTGTTCAATAGCGGTGATATCTGATATTTTAAATTTATTTGCTGTCAGCGGCTTAGAAAACGCATCGGAATGAAATTTCGATATTTTATTTAACACTGCGTCATCGTTGTCGTCCTCGCTGACGTCATCAACGTCCACCATCATGTCCGATTCTGGCGATTTCGAATCGTTGCGATCATCTGCGATCGACGGCTGATGTGGGCGAAATTGTTGATGATGATATCGATGGTGCTGCTGTTGGTAGGGGTGCATGTGTTGTTGTTGCTGTGGAGTGCAGTTTTGTTGGGGTGTCGTGTTGGGAAGTTCTTGTTTCACGTTTAATTGTGGCTCGTCATGAAAGAGGTTCCATTTACTGCCAATGAGAAAATTCTTGTGGCTGAGACGCTCGTCATTGAGACCGTTCAAAACGTTCTTCTCAAGATTATCAGCATCGTTAATAACAAAATTGTTGCCAGCATTGCTACTACCTCTCTTGCAGTTGCTGCTGCCGCTGCAGTTTATTTTATCACATGCCGCCTCGTGCTCATCCTCCTCATCAGCATTATCTCCAGCAGAGCCATCTCCCGGCGGATTAGTTTCGCAATTTAGAGCTAAACATTTTCCCGGCAAAATTTTTCTGCTACAATCGTCGTTGAACGCTTCATGATTTTTATTTACATCAACGCAGAGACGCCATGTTTCCTTTGTGAGGTGTTTATTTGGCGCCAATTTTCCTGCTTCCAATTGGAAATCTTTGAAAATATCACTCCCGGACGTGGCTGGTGGTTTGTTTCCTGGTGTGGTGTCATTTTTTATTTTGATGCAATCTACCGAATCCGATCTAACGCTGTTGTTGGATGCGTGCGATTTGTTGCTGGCGCCCTGTTTCACAGTTCTTAAGCAGGAAATTTTGTTGTGGTGTACACGTGTGATGGTGTTTGAGTGGTTGGTGTTGTCGGTGTGACTATCGTTTTGCTGTTGTTTCGAAGTGGTTTCATTACGTGTTTCATTGTTGCAAGATTGGTTGAGGTACCAAGAATTGAACTTGTGAAAAATTTCAGATAAATTTTCTAGAGTCCTTTGAGGTCTGTCTGTCTTTATAAGATCCTATTGTGTATTGTTTGTAGGGATTAGTCCATGTCTAGCAATTATAATTTGTTGCGATGTGATCACACTTGCTGCTATTAAACGATATCACTAGAATAATTTTCATTCATATTTTCAAGTTGTAAAAAGTTTTCATTTTTATTCAATTATACCCGTTCATTCAACAAAAATCCAATTTGCTAACAGATTGTTTTGTTACTTTAAAATGCACCATAGTGTAAGTGGTCATTTGAAAGAAAATTTAAAAAATGACCATACCAAAACGTCGCCTGGACATTTTAAATCATCCAACAAGCGAGAGTTCTCTTTTAGGAAAAAATTCAAAAGTTTGTCTTTGACGTTTCTTTGCAGTTGATATGAGCCGATTCTGTGCAAATAAAATGAAATTTCTTTTTTTATATTTTGTCATTTCATGTTTTCTGGCATTCTATTTTTAATCTCAATTAATTTGGTCGTAGATAGACCACAGACAAGTGAAGTAACGTAGAAATGTTACGTGTTAAGTCACTAGCGATTTTTTTATAATGATTTTTTCCTAACTTTTTGAGGTTGAAAGTTGAGAGAGTTGAAATTTCGTTTTTAAAACTTTTTTAATTTGTTTAATAGGGACCTCATCATTTTGAGACGAAACAAAATTTCATTCAACAATAAAAATTTAACCGAAATAATGTCACAAGGCTGATTAGAGTAGCATTTTTAAAAATTCCAAACAAATCTATCTTGAGTTTGCACAGACATTTTTATATTTTTTAAACAATTTTTATTTTAAACATTTTCCATACAGAATAATAAATTTCCTAATTTATTTCATTCAATTGCTCGCTGTCTGAAAGTACTTAATTTCTTGTCATCTAACTTAACACCAGGCTAATGCCTTCTACCTCTTCAACTTTAAAATAACAAAATTTATTTCAATTAGCCGCGATAGCTGAGAAATCCAGAGCAGACGTTTTTAAATTTTTAAATTGATTAGTTCAATTAAATGAATGAATCGTTTAGAGCAAGTGATTGTTTGCTTAAAAATCTAGTCGTGAAAAAAAGTATTTATAATGAATATATAAATACTTATTTAATTTTCAGTTTTTCTCATTTCAATTTATTAACGTTTTTAACATGTAAAACAACAATTAAATTTGTATGAGTAGACATTTATGTGTGTATAAGCACATATACATTTGCGGTTCAGCATAGATTTGGATGCATCAGCGCGTGTGATGATGATGGTACTTGATAAGAGATAGAAAGCAGAAGAAGCAATTAATTATTAGTGGGCGATGGAGTTGATTTGCCGAGAGCTGCAAACTTCTGCGTGTAATTAACGACTTGATCCGTGTCTGCGTCAATCTTAATTCAATTTGCTCCTCACAAACAACCGACCAAAATAATTATCTTGCTATTCGCTACCGGGGAAAAAAACTCTTTTTTATTTTTAGGCTTCAGACGTAAATTTCAAGGAGAAACATCTGAAAAATTTAGTTTTTGAACGGAATTATGATTCCGTAATGTGATAAAAGTGCCTAATAGTTAATTAAATTCTGTGGACTACTAGCATTTTGTTTTTGAATTTTGAATAAATTTATAATTGACAACTAAGTTTTTAAAAATTTGTTGAAAAACTTTCAAACCATTATATCTAAATATGAACTCGAGTATTTATAAACATGTTATCCATTCACCAGCGAGGCAGGCTCACGTGTGGCTGAGGCTGGCCGAGGCAATGTTGTTAGCGAGACAGCCGCAATAAGGAATAACTCAAAATTGTTCATCTAGTGCATTTGATGACCGAGCTGAACAATTTTCTGCATGCTGATTCTAAAATCGATCAACTACTTTCTCAAAATTGAAATTTCTAAACTTGCATTTCCCCTTCTACTCTATTCATCGCGACACGATCTTTAGAACTTGAATAAAATCTATTATTAACAATTCTATTCAGAACCAGTCCGTATAAGTTTATTTTCGAGCGTGTGCTCGTGTGAAGGTGTGTTAGAGAGAGAGAGAGAGAGAGAGAGAGAGAGAGAGAGAGAGAGAGAGAGAGAGAGAGAGAGTGTGTGTGTGTGTGTGTGTGTGTGTGTGTTAGAGTGTGTGTGTGTGTTAGAGTGTGTGTGCGTGTGTGTGTTAGAGTGTGTGTGCGTGTGTGTGTCCATCTGCATAAGTTTATCCTTGTACGTGATCATATGTGTGCAGTGCAGGTGCGTCAGCGGTTGTGCGCGGACAGCAAGCGCATCAAGTACTGAGGGAAGAGTGAACGCGCAGAGCATACGTTATAAGGTTGGTTTGTTGAGCGTTTAATCTCTTATTAACGGCAGACGCATGTGCACTGCATACAATGTCCTACTCTCTATGTATACAACTTACTCACCACCACTACTACTCTGTATATAAGCGAGTGTGTATATACACATCTGTGTGTCTGTATTTATGTGTGTGCGTGACTATACATTTAAATTGAAACATTTGTTTTGTTTGTGTTTCTTCTTGCAAGTGTAAGCGGACTTGTGAGCGTGTTTTAAAAATTTTTTTGCGTGTGTGTTTTGCGCACCGACAGGCAGAATAAAATTGCGTTTTTTTACATTTAGAAATTTCAATTTTGCTTGATTGTTAGATTAAAATCTCACATAAATTTCACACCAAAAACCAATAACGATATTTTCACTAACTGACCTGGCTTGACTGGAGAGCATTATAATGATAATGACGTCATTTCTCATCCGACCAATGATGTCTGAGATGGTCGAACTTGGGTCAGCGGCAATCCAGTCAAGCGGCAACATGTTCCAATTTGTTAACTGCAGGAAGCCTGCGTGGTCATTGTCGAAGGAATCAACTTTTATTCAGCTCGGCTTAACGGAAATATAACTTAATAATTTATCGCAAAATCCATGTTGAATAAAATTTAATTAAAAATGTTTTCAGTAGCATGAAGTTTTTACCGAGTTTTTGATAGGTACTGGACTTAATGTAAAATTCAACATTTCAATTAATTTTCTTCCATACATTTATTTATTTTTTGGAAGATTCATTTTTTCTGGTTCGCCAAAACAAACTTAAGCCGTCTTTATTTATTGAACTCAATTAATTAATAAAATTTGAAATTAAGAATTAAAATCAGGGGACTTAAATATCTTGTAAGAACAACCTTTGGCGCTGATATCATAATCATCTCGATGCAACTCTAAACCATCTATCGCTAGTGGCAAGAGATTCGCAAATAACTCCCAACCTGGGATTTTCAGGATTGTGCTAATTTTTTTATTCGTTTTATTTTGCCAAGGGAGCCAAATAAAAGGCAATGGCGATGTTACAGAGGAGTCGGTTTTACCGGTATTGTTCGGTTCGATTTCATATACGAGACATTTTAATGATAACCGATCGGTTTTGTCGTTGACTGCAGAAATGTTGATGTCTTTGAAATTGTTGTTGTTGTTCGTTTTGTAGTTGTCACACGAACTTGTCGCTTCCATGTCTTCGTTGTTGTTGTTGCTACTGCTGCTGTTTTCATGTTGTGGTTTTGTTGCGTTGATGTTGTTGTTGTTGTTGGCTGTTGATGCAAGTGCTGTTGGTGTTATTGATGTCGTTGTCGTTTTGGTTAACGTGAAACACGTAGCTGATTTATCTAGATGTTAATGATTAGTGGATAGAAAATTGAACATATAAAATTGTTACGAATTATCTGTGACTTAATTAAAACTTTTTCAAAATTAAAACAACGAAATGCGGAAAAGATTTATGTGAACATTTTCCATAGCGTGAGAATTTGCACGCGCCAATAAATTTCACTAACAAGAATACACACACACACAAACAGACGCACACACACACACACAAACAGACGCACACACACACACACACACACATACATACACACATAACATAACATACACACACATATACAAGTGCGTACATGAAATAAACAGACACACAGCTTCTAAAATAGTCACAAACGAATACATAAAAACCAAACAGCGTTGGAAAAATACAAACTCACTTAAGAAGCATATAGAAAACATGCTCAAAAAAATAAGCAAGTGCACACAGAAACAGACACAAGCAAACACACACACACACATAAAAACACACAGACAAACAAACACACGCACACAGTATCGCGCGTGTGCACGTGCAGACTGCACAAGCAATCTCGTTGAACGTCAATTTAATTGCAAATTTCAGAGGGCAAATCCCATCAAAGAAAGCAGCTTAGTAGACCTAATCCTTGGTCTGATCTGTCCACTATGGATCACGCGTCCAACATCACCTTTCACGCTTTATTTTATTATTCTTCATTTTTCGTTCGGCGTGTTGCTGTTGTTGATGTCGTCGTTGTTTATGTTGTTGTTGTTGATGTGTTGGTGGTGAGTTTGCTAGTGAGTGGTGTGTGTGTTTTGGTGTTGATGTCATGATGATGAGATGCAATGGCCGCTGTAACTTAAGTTCGATCTTTTTATTTTTCATGTTTCCTTTGAAAATGTTCAATAAATTGTTTTTCTATTTTGTTTTTTTTTATCACTGTTCACGTTGTTCATTCATAAGTTTTTCTGTGTGACTGGTTGGTTTAAATTTTTGAATATTCTTGCTTCTCTGGCAGTTGCAGATGCCAGCCAACCATAAATTATTTATGATGGATATCATGAGAGATTTGCGACCTCCTTCAAAAGTCACTTTATTATGAAGCATAAAGTGGTTCAGACGGTAATGTACTGCAGTAATACAGACACACACATATATACGCACATAGACACACAGATGTAGTGTGCCTACACATATACACGCACATACACACACACACACACAGAGAGAGATGTAGGCACACATATTCACACAAACGCACACACACACACTTGTTATATATGCCCTATCAATTATTCACTCATCTGTTGTTTAACGCATTTGTCAAAACTCTGTTGTACATACACGTGCGCATCTCCCTGCATTATCACGTCCACAGACATATGTTGCGCGCACACATTTGCATTTGAAAGCTAACTAAGTAGACAAACGTCTGTGTATATGTACATATACATGTTCATGTGATATGCAAAGTACAGAAATCTTATAAATTTTGCTTATTGTGGTTCAAGTTTTGGTGGCTATATCTACCAAAGATGGTAAGTTTCAAATGTTTGTTTAATTGAGAGTGAGAATCAAAGCTTAGAGGTACATATAAATGAACCATTCAAGTGTAAATTTACTATGTGATCAAGTAAATGATGTACGCGCGCACACATAATTAAACGCATACACACCACGTGCGTAATTGAAGGTAACAAACATTATGAACAAACAGAAAAACACGAAATAGAAAGGAAACATGCACGCACAGCACACACGCGCACAACGTATCGCATTAATGCGCACACTTTATACGTATGCAATTTAATCCGCGCGCGGGGCCAAACGTTAAATCTCAAGAGCTCGGCCTGTGATTGGCTGCCGAGAGGTCATGTGATCGGGGTGAAAGAGGTTATGACGTCAATAGGGGGCGTAGTTTGTTTTGTCGATTAGTCCATTGTAGTTGTTGTTGGGTTTCCGTTGTTTATTGATGCAATAACGTCACGTTCCTGTGTTGTTATTGTAGTTGAACTGTTGCATGGTTGAGTTGTTGGTGCCTCGTTTTTGTAATTCAGCGTGCTGATGTGCTGATGGGCTGATGTGTTGATGTGTTGATGTGCTGATGTGTTGATGTGCTGATGTGTTTATGTGCTGATGTGTTGATGTGCTGATGTGTTGATGTGCTGTAGTTACGTTGTCGCCATGTTGTTAATGCGTCGCTTTTTAATTTGCATAATTTATGTTAATATGGCAGCGTTTTTGTTGTGTCACGGATTCATCGTTATCTTCTTTCTAGTTTACACTTAAAAAATATATATATGGTGAAATTGGTAACGTAAAAAACAATGACCCACAGAAAGACAGAGAGAAGCACACGCACACATACAGACAAACAAACAAAGAATTATACACATATAAACATGCATTCTGACTTATCTGAAGCCCCATCAGTTTCTTAACACATCAATCAGCCTCTGTGACATGTGTTCGCTATGCATTGAGATAACAATACAACACATTCGAAATGATTTTAGCTTACATAAATACGTTCATGCTGTATAATTTATATATATATATATAAAAGTTTTTGTTTGTTTTATATTGTATGAGAATTCTTAAATACACGCATACGTACGCAAGCACATGTAAACATATACACAGATACATACATGCATAAATACATACATACACTCATACATAAATACATACATATACACACATACACACACACACATACATACAAACATACATACATACATCAGGTGGCTATATTTGATGAGTTATCCTCACATAGTCTTCCCGTTATCCTAATTTTCCTTTTACTTTAATTCTCCAGCAGCCATAGAAATTTTTAACTTTCTGAAAGTTTCTCTCTATCTTTCTATCTTTCTCTCTCTCTCTCTCTCTCTTTCTCTCTCTCTCTCTTTATGGCCATTTTGTCCATTTTGTTATCTCTTCCTTTCTAGTTGTCCTTCTCTCTTTCTTGTCCAGCTTGTTAGTCATGTATTTTTGTATATTTTTATTTCACCACACCACGTTACGTTTCATCTGTAGAGCAATTTCACCATCATTCCTCATAAAACCGACTTCCTCTTAAGAAGAATTATCAAAATATATCTTAAGAACAACCCCGTAACATTATGCATATTTCTTACGCCGTTATCTTTCCATCATTAATGTTACTCTACCGTTATTTGGTGATGGATAGTATCTTGATGTGATGAGGATTTGATACGACTTGATTTGACACCATATGACATCAAAATCACATCCCATCACATCAAATGACATTGCATGCCTGTCCTGTCCACACAAACACTTGTCGCACGATGCTTGTAATGTCTGTAGGATTTCGCTATGACGTTAACAGGAGTTTAATATGATGTGGATGTGACGTCATGTGACGCTGATGTGACGTCATGCTTGCATCACATCAGATGACATCACACACATTCATCCTATCAACGTGGCTGCTTGAGCGGATGGATAATCATGCCATTTAGAAAGGATTATTCGGCTTCGCCTCTTCGATCAGCTAGTGCTGGTCAATCTCGATAAAAACTCTACCCTGCGTTTGTATGTATGTACGTTTGTATTTTTGTGTATATTTGTATTTGTTGGCGTCTATGTATATTTAACAATTTTGTAGTCTTTTTCGTATCTTAAGTATACAACTATATTTTTGTGTGTGTATACATTTCTATGTTTTAATACATGTTTTTCATATTTTCATTTTAATAAATTTTGTATGTCTTTGCCTGCTTGGGTTGGCACGGAAAATTGTATAAAATTTTGTCTGATGTGTCGTTGTAATCTAACACTAAACGTTCTGTTCATGAAATCACGATCACTAAGTCTACTTCATAATACGCTTGTTGCTGTTGTTGTTGTGGCTGAATAACAAAAGATGATAACTCCTCCAGGACTAACTCATTTTAACACCAGCCACCACAGTTGAAATCATTCTTTTTGCAAAAGCAAAGGAAATTTCTCTGGAATTTTGAATGCATTCAAATTGTTTTGGTTTCGTTTTTGGTAATCATAATAAGTGTTTTTTTATGCAAAAGTGATATTCCTGTGTGATTGATTGTGTGGTGTGTGTGAAGAGAGAGAGAGAGAGAGAGAGAGAGAGAGAGAGAGAACATGAGAGAGAACGAGAGAGAGAGAGAGAGAGAAGATTGTGTATAATCCGTGGGCGTGTTTATGAAAACACGACACGTTCAGTCGTGCATATTAATGTTGGATTTCCACCCACCTCTCTTGCTTCTTGCATTCATCCATTGCCTTGCCCCTCATCACATTACAAATGTGATGAGGGGCAAAGCAACCTCAACCTTAACCTGCTAACCAAACGAAAGATCGCACGAAGACCAGGGGAGTCCTTATATAAATCTGCTAAGCGTTTGACGGGCTGTTTCCTATGTAATCACACAGCGGATTTTAATTAACAGATAAAATATTAATGGATGTAATTTGAATATTTTTTTCGATAGATCCGTATTTTGCATTTTAATTGTGAACACTTTGAAGAGATATACTTAAACAAAATGCATGCGTTTTCAGTGTTTATCTTTTTGTGTTAGTTTGTATATCTGTTTGTTTTGTTTGTATATTCATTCGTTTTTTTTTGCTCGTTCGTTTGTTTATGTGTTTGTAACGTTGTAGGTATACTTATTTTACGTTCTTATTTGTAATCGTGTGTGTGTGTGTGTGTGTGTGTGTGTGCGTGTGTGTGTGTGTGTGTGTTTATATGCTTATGGGTTCAGTACAATCTTTCTTTATCCGATTAACTGTTTGTACGCAGGTAGGTATGTTTCTACTTTCGTTCGTTCGTTCGTCCGTTTGTTCGTTCATTCGTTTATCTTCACGTTTTTTTATTGTTTAAAACGTTTTACAAATTATTTTTAGACTATCAAATATGCAAAAGCGATGAAAATTCATGAGAATTATTGAGAAATAAAATAGAGTGCATGCATGCGTTTATCCAGTGCATGCATGCATCAGTTGAGGATAATTACGGTATGATGTGCTGATGTCTTTGTTAATGAATCTGTCAGAATGCCTTATTACTGTTTAAGTTTTTTATTCATGCTGTGTTTTTTCAAGAATTTCGAGTTTTTATAGTAGTATCTAGATGCATGTAAATGTCTAGATGTTTCGAGATTAGTTGATTTTAAGAGATCTCAAATGTTCGTACACGGATTCTATTAAATGAAATCATTCACTAAGAATATTTAACAGATTAAACCTATTATATTGTCAGCTTTTTTAAAAAAGGTTTGAATTGACACAGCAACAACATAACAACTACAACAACAACACGACAAGACTACAACAACATAACTACAACATAACAGCCACAACAACATATCAACAACAACATATGCTACTAATAAGGATGACATAGCAGTTGTTTATGTTGAGTTGTTAGGGATCGTTACAAAGACATTTAACGAAACATCAACACCTGCATTCATACAGAACTGGATTTGAAGCGAGGCAGGCCCGGATCTTCCGCTGAAAAATGGTCTCCCAAAAAACGATGTCTAACTTTAATACATGAAAAGAACTTCCGCAAGAACGGAAGTGATGATTTGGATTAAGAAATTGTAGGAAGTTGTTGAAAAATTGGAACGATGAAATAAAAGAAGGTAGCTAACTATTTCTTTTGCAAATAAATTATGACCCTCTATTTAACATTTTGAAGTCTCCACAAAAAATGACAGACATGCATACATTCTTACATACACTTATATGTACATAAAAAAAATACATACACAAATATACGAACGTACATACACATATATACATACACAAATATACAAACGTACATACACATATATACATACACAAACATACAAACTTACATACGCACGTATACTTACGTACGTTACGTGCGAACGGTGGAGAGTGTTGATTTGATGTAACGCGATAAGCGGTGTGATGTTTAATTGTACAATGAAGAAGAGCCATGATAATCCTTCGTGGAAGTAATCTAGGTCAATATTAAGGTCTCATTCATTCGTTCGTTCGTTCATTCGTCTGTTTGTTCGTTCGTTCAATCGATCGCTCGTTCTTACATTCATTCAATCGTTCGTTCGTTCGTTTGTTTGTTTGTTTTCCCGTTCATCTGTGCATCCATTCATCCATCTATCCATTCATTCATTCATTTATTCATCCATTCATTCATTCATGTTTCCATTCACCCAATAGATAAATATAAATGAATAGATGGATGAATAGATGGATGAATGAATTGATGAATGGATGGATGGATAAATAAATAGATAGATAGACGGATATAACGATAACAACGATGATGACGATGATGGCGATGATGATGATGATAATGATGACGATGGTGGTGAGGATGACGATGGTGGTGATGACGATGACTTTCGAACGTTTGAATGAATTGTATGTAATGCAGCGTGATGAGTTGTATTGAAGATTTTTCTGAGAGGAGATTATTAAAGATGTGATGATGATGATGATGATGATGATGATGGTGGTGGTGATGATGATGATGGTGGTGATGATGATGATGATGATGAGGATGATGAGGATGGAGATGAGGATGATAGTGAGGATAATAATTTTTTAAGTTTTAGAATAAAATAATATGAAAGACCACTTTATCATCATCATCGTCGGATGGATGGATGGATGGATGGATGGATGAATGGATGAATGGATGGATGGACAAATGGACAAATGGATGGATGGATAGATATGATATATATCACATATAAATAATTAAATAAGTGCCACCTTCCTGCCAGCATAATGCTCGAATAATATTTCTCGGAGACATGCCTCTCTTTAATGTCGACTTAATATTTTATTCATCTTTCTATTTGGTCAAATTGAAATTCTGAAAAAATGAATTTATTTCTTTCTCTTTATTTTTTTTTTGTTTTCATTATTTTATACTTTTAATTTAATTGAAACATAAGAAGGTTATACATATCTGCTTACAAACACATTTTAGTATAGCTCTTACATAGATGTGTGTGTATGTAGGCGGAGAGAGAGAGAGAGAGAGAGAGAAAGAGAGAGAAAGTAAAAGACAGACAAACATACATACAAAAAACCTGTTTTAATAAAAATACACATGAACAATAAATATATATACCATACAATATAATGTATGCGCGTATGCGTGTATATGTAGAGAGAGAAAGAGAGGGAGAAAGAGAAAAAGAATTAAATGAAAGAGGAAGGAGAGAATGTGATAGTAAGAGAGAGAGTCAAGTATTCCCGTGACATTTTTTTCTTCCTAATTCTTTCATTTTAAAATGATGATGATGATGACGACGACGACGATGATGATGATGAAAAAATAATGGTAAATATGATGATGATTATCATTACGGCATTTGTTATTAATATCACTACTAAAATTGCACCTATCATATTTTTTCTTCAATCTTCTATTTGAAAACTCACAAATCATCAGCTTAGTCTAACGTTATCAATAAAATTATTAATTTCATTATCATCCGTCTTATCATGTCATCATCATCATCATTATCGTGCTTCATTAATATTTATTATCATCTGTTTTATCATTATCGTGAACATCATTTCTTATCATCACCATATTCAACACTACCATCATCATCATTATCAAATTCATCATCATCATCTTCATCATTAGCGTCGTCATTACCATATCTAGCGCCATCTTCATCGTCATTGGTACATCGTCATCATCATTCTCATCATTATCTTCTTCTTTTCTTCTCAATCTTCTTCTTCATAACCGGCATTATCACTCACATCGTCATCGTCGTCGTCATCAAAGTCATCACCATCTTAAACTATCTTTGAAGCCCTTAGCATAGCAGAAAGCATGCATAGCGACTCAATTACCTCCTAATACCTTATTATACAAATAGCCGTACGTATGTTTTGTATCTGTATGTATGTATCAGTACTTAAGTATAATTTATATGGTCAAGTTTATTAGTGATGCTAATATACACACACTAAAACATTCATACATACCATGTATTGTACAACTAGCCCTACGGCTAAATCAAAACAAAGTTATGCTAAAAAATGATCGGATATTTTTATTCGACTGCGACTCCAAGCTAGACCGTGTCGTTAATTCAAATTTTTCTTAATTTTTCTTTATTTTAAAAGGTAACGCGTTTTTCAGTATATTAACTGTCTTGTAACTTTAGTGAAAAAATCATTTATACATGAAATAATTTTTCTAAATTAGTGCTCTGTATTACGCGTGTTTGATCTAATATCTCGAGACTTTTGTGTTGCCATCATAAGGTTTCTTACTCTTGAATATGGTCATGTTTCATTGTTTGTGATGCTTCTGACATCTTTCACTAGTTTGAAAGTTTCTCAAATTCATTAAAGTATTTAATTTTCGTTCATGTTTTTTTTTTTATAAATTACTGTAAATCACAAATGATTTGCGAAGTTTCTTTCATTTAATAATAGTAGTATGCTATCTGAGTAGAAAGATAACGCAAGAGTTAATATATTTTTTTTGGAGTCGATCGAAACCCGGAATAGGAGTCGGAAAATCTTATCCGGATTTGAAAAACTTTATCCGGATTTGGAGTCGGATTATAAACCGGAATCTTTGTATTGCATGCGTTGATGTTATAGGCTGAGATCTTTTTGCATTCAAACCTGGTCACTGCGACAGCAGAACCAGACGCCCTAACCGTTACTCCATCATTTATATTATTATTTTTAATCATAATTTTTACCTTTGCCTTGACTGTCATCGGCATTATCACCATCATCACAGTCTGCATCATTGTTGCTTGGCATTGTGTTGGAAGTTTTATTGTTGTTGTTGTTATTGTTGATGATGAAAAAGACGATGCCGTTGTTGTTGTTGATGTTGATGTTAGTGGATGTGTTGTTGTTGTTGTTGTTGTTTGTGACGTTGATGACGACGTTGTTGATGTTGTTGTTATTGTTGTTATTGTTGTCGTTGGGGTTGTTGTTGTTGGTGTTTGTGACGTTGATGATGACGTAGTTGATGTTTTTGTTGATTTTGTTGACTTGACAATGTTGATGTCATCGATTCTGTAGTTAACTTTATGGCAGAAGATTTGAAGTTACTATAACGAATGTGGTTCTTTGTTTTATTTTTTTTTTTAAATTGGGATTCATCTGTTTATTTGGGATTGTTGTTGTTGTTGTGCTTGTTGTTGTGATCGTTGTTGTTATAGACTGTTGTTGTTCTTCTTCTTCTTCTTGTGGTTGTTGTTGGTGTAGCCGCTGTTGTTCCCCACTAACAATATTTTATTACTAAT